GAATTTACCATTCTAGTTGCCATTAAGAACAATTGTGAGGCCAGGCATGGTGGCTCATACCTGTAATCCTAGCACTCTAGGAAGTGGAGGTATGTGGATTGCCTGAATTCAGAAGTTCAAGACCAGCCTGAGCAAGAGTGAGACCCCATCTCCAAAAATAGCCAGGCGTTGTGGTGAGCACCTGTAATCCTGGTTACTTAGGCTGAGGCAAGAGAATTGCTTGAGCCCAGTGTTTGAGGTTGCTGTGACCTATGAAGCCACAACACTCTACCAACAGCGACAAAGTGAGACTTTTTCTCAAACAAACAAATAAAAATTGTGCTTTGTGGAGGATGGAATGTGTTGTTAAAATATCAGCAATAATAGGGGTTTAGAAGAAGCTGGTTCCAACCCTCATGGACGACTTTGAGGGTTTCAAAACTCGAGTGGAGGAATGACTTGCAGGTGTCATGGAAACAGCAAGAAAACTAGAATTAGAAGTGGAGCCTGAGATGTGACGGAATTGTTGCAATCTCATAAAACTCAAATGGATAAGGAGTTGCTTCTTATGGATGCACAAAATGGTTTCTTCAGATAGAATCTACTACTGGTGAAGATGCCATGAACATCGTTGAAATGAAAACAAAGGTTATAGTATTCCATAAATATAGCTGCAGGGTTTGAGAAAATCGACTCCAATTTTGAAAGAACTTCTATGGGTAAAATACTATCAAACATTATTGCATGCTATAGAGAAATTTTTTGTGAAATGGAGAGTCAATCGATGTAGCAAATGCTTTTTCTTTTAATTGCCATAGCTACCCAACCTCCAGCATCCTCCACCCTGATCAGTCAATAGCCATCAACACTGAGGAAAGACTTCCACCAGCAAAGACTGCAACTTGCGAAAAGCTCAGATTAGACATCTTAGTCAGCATATTTCTACAATAAAGTATGTTATAATTAAGGTATGAACTTTTTTTTTTGAGACAGAGTCTCAAGCTGTCACCCTGGGTAGAGTACCGTGGTATCACAGCAACCTCAAATAGCTCACGGCAACCTCAAACTCTTGGGCTTAAAGCAATTCTCTTGCCTCAGCTTCCCAAGTAGCTGGGAATACAGGCGCCCGCTACAACGCCTGGCTTTTCGTGGCAATTGTCATTGTTTTAGCTGACCCAGGCTGGCCCATAACTTCGAACCCTCCAGCTTCAGTATGCGGCTGGCACCCTACCCAGTGAGCTACAGACACCGCCGGGTATGAACGTTTTTAAGAAATAATGCTAATGCACATTTAGTAGACCAGAGTATAATAAAAACAAATTTTACATGCACTGGAAAACCAAAAAATTCATGTGACTCACTTCACTGAGATATCTTCTGTTTAGTAGTCTGGAAACAAACTTGCGATATCTTCAAGGTTGCCACAGTAAGGCCATGTTTAGCTTTGTAAGAAACTTCCAAATTGCTAAGCAAACTAATTATATTGCCACCAGCAATAAATAAAAGTTCATATTGCTCCATATGCTCACCAGCATACGGTGTTGTGCTTTTAATTTTAGCCATTGGAATAGGTATATAAAGGTATCTCATCATCTTAATTTGCAATTTTCTAATAACATGACATTAAGTATCTTTTTCATATATATTTGCCATCTGTGTATCTTCTTTTGCAAGATGTCTAGGTTTTTTATCTATTATTTAAATTGGCTTATTTTCTTACTGTTGAGTTTTAAGAGTTCTTTTAGATACAAATCCTTTATCATACATATCTTACAAATATTTTCTCCCATCTTGTGGCTTATCTTTTCAGTCTAATACTATCTTTCACAGAAGTTTTTAGTTTTAATAAAGTCCACTTACTAATTTTTCTTCCATGGATCATGCTTTTGGTGCTTCAGCTAAAAATTCATCATGAAAGTCAGTTGGTCCTCCAAATTTGTTCTTCATTATCTCGGCAATTATCTGGTCTTTCCCCTTTCCACATAAACTTTAAAATCAGTTTGTCAATATGTGCAAAGTATCTTGCTGGGATTTTGTTAACAATTCATCAAATCTATACAAAAATTTGGGAAGACATGACACTTGAACAATATTTAGGCTTTCTATCCATGAACATATAATGTCTATTTATTTAGATATTTGATTTCCTTCATCAGACTTTTGTGGTTTTTCTCATATAGGTCTTGTACATGACTTGTGTTTGTACATACCTTTTTCTTTTAGTGCTAAATGATGTCTGATTATGTAATGGATTACATGTAATGATTTTTGAATGTTGAACCAACCTTGTATACTTGGAAAAAATAACACTTGTCCGTGTATAGCTCTTGATTATACATTATTTAGATTTGCTAATACTTTGTTGAGCATTTTTACATCTATGCTCATGAGAGAGGTCTATAGTTGTCCTTCCTTGAAATGTCTTTACCTGGTTTTGATATTAGGTTAGTGCTCGCCTCACAAAATCAATTAGAATGCATTTCCCCTGCTTCTATTTTCTAGCACAGATTATATAAAATTGGCATCATCTCCTTCTTTAATATTTGATAGAATTCACTAGTGAAAACTGTCTGGGACCAATGCTTTGTTTGGGAATCTCATTATTGGTTCAATCTCTTTTATAAAGGTTTATGCAGAGTAGTTATTTCTCCTGCTTGCCTTTCACAAAATTGATCCATTTCATTTAAGTTATAAAATTTATGGACAAAGTATTGTTCATAACAATCCTTTTAACATTCACGAGATCAGTAGTAATGGCCTCACTTCTCATTTCTGATTTCAGTAATTGTCTTTTCTTGCTTGGTTGGTGCAGCAAAGGGTTTATAAATTTAATATTTTCATTGAATTTCATTTCAGCTCCATTGAATTTCAGTTGTGTTCCATCAAATTTCTCTATTGCTCTTCTCTTTTCATTTTCATTGATTTCTACTTTATTATTTCATTTCTTCAGCTTTGGATTTAATTTGTTCTTTTCCTAAATTAGATGCTTAGGCCTGCACAGTGGCTCACGCCTGTAATCCTAGCACTCTGGGAGACTAAGGTGGATACATTGCTTGAACTCAGGAGTTTGAGACCAGCCTGAGTAAGAATAAGATCCCATCTCTCCTAAAAATAGCTGGGTGTTGTGGTGGGCACCTGTAGTCCCAGCTGCTCGGGAGGCTGAGGCAAGAGTTTTGCTTGCGCCCAAACTTTGAAGTCACTATGAGCTTTGACACTCCAGCACCCAAGAGTCAGACTCTGTCTCAAGTAAGAAAGAATCCTTACATTATTGATTTTAAATCTTTTATTTTCCAATATATGCATTCAATGCTATACATTTCCTTCTGCTTTTGCCACACCTTATGTTAATAAATTATATTTTCATTTTCATTTAGTTCAAAATATATTTTCTCTTGACAATTTTTTTGACTTACATGCTACTTAGGAATGTGTTATTTAATCTCCAGATATTTGAGGATTTTCTGAGTATCTGTTTTGATCTCTAGTTTAATTCCATTGCAGCCTGAGACATATTTCCTATGATATCCATCTTAAAAAATGTAACTTAAACCAAAAGTAGGCAACTAATCTTGCTATGTATTACAAGAAGTCTGGGTTAATAAATTAAAGTAAATGAAATAATTATTAATAAAATGTGAAACAAAGAGTTGCCAGGTAAATGACCAAATTGTTCACTGCATTTATCTATAACTTTCCATAATTTGTAACACAGACGACTTCACAGACAATTCTACTTGCTATGAAGACTGTCAGCCCTACACTGCCACTTCTCCCCTAATAACTTCAAGGAATAAAAAGAATTGCTCTTTCCTTCAATATCCAACTGGAATATTCTAGAAGGGTACTTTATATGTTATCTTTCCCTAAAAGAAGTTATGTTCTTGCAGGGCACAAGGGCACACACCTGTAATCCTAGCACTGTGGGAGGCTGAGGCAGGTGGATTGCTTGAGCTCAGGAGTTCAAGACCAGCCTGAGCAAACACGAGACCACATCTCTACTGAAAATAGAAAAACTAGCCAGGCATGGTGGGCATCTATAGTCCCAGGTCTCTTGAGCCCAACAGTTTGAGGTTGCTGTAAACTAAGACACCATGGCAATCTATCCAGGGCAACGGAGTGAGATTTTGTCTCAAAAGAAGAAATTATGTTCTCTAAGATATAACAATATTTGTCTTTTCTGCAGAAGAGAATGATATACTTGGAGTATTATTTGTTCACTTTTAAACAGATTAAATAATTAAGATAAGTAAGAAACTTGGATGATATATAGTAGAAAGCATTTTCAAGTAAAGAAGTACACACAATTTCTCTTAGAAAACTAATGATACTAAATGGGTTTAGAATTCTCTAGTGTAGCTTAGATTTAATCCTGAATTAGTACTATATCTTAATTTATTCACCTGTGAGAAAGTGTTTTTTATTTATAAAAATATGATACATCACCAATAACTAGAGACTTTTAGAAAAAATTTTATTTACAGAAAATTCACAGAGCATTAACAAAATGTTTGCAAACACAATTATGTTGGTAATATTTAACAGAATCAAGAGTGAATTAATAATGTCATTTGATATATAATACAAATTAGTTTTACCCATTATTTTTTTATAGCCCAATTTTTTACAAATCTAGAAATAAGGCAGGACACATGAAACAAATTTGCTAAATATTTTAAAATTATGCCAACTTCTCCATGAGATATTATTTCCATTTTAAAACTATCTTCAAGATAAATGACTTTTCCACTATTATTCTTAAATATAACACTCAAATAGAACTCAAAATGCATAAAAGATAGTATTATAAATTTAAAAAGAAAAATATATAAGCAGTATCATAAATTAACAAAGAATTTCCCAAAGAATATTACATGAGGTAAATAAGGTACATTAAATGTTTATGGCTAGAATATTATTTACTTGTATTCTCATCCATACAGTTTAAAATGCCAAAGCACTGACTATGAAAGGACTATGAAAGGTCTATTTAAAAATGATGAATAGATGGCAGCCTATATCATTTAAAGATAAAAGGAACGTAGACTATGTGCTTCAATTTTCAAATAATGTTCTTTATCCAAATAGTGCTGTGTTTCCATTATCCTGGAATGACAAGATCCTTTACTATGTGAAAAAGAGATCATCCTTTCACTGATGGAAAGCTTCTAATCTTATTCGAGTTGGATCTTCTGGATGTCTTAAGGCAATTCCATTACGCAGCAGCAGTTCAATATAAGGCGGCCAAAAGGAATCACTAATTTTGACATATGGATCATATGGAACATCAAATAATCTATTTATAAGAATCTAGGAGAAAATATCATCCAAAATATACTTTACTGGGGAGGAAATCAATACGGCTATAATAAAACAAAGTATTTCACCAAAGAATGCTTATCTCTTTTCTCCTTCAGCAACTGTTTGTCATAATTTTTTGTGCACTAATTTAAATAACTGATGTTTTTTTTTTTTAGAGACAGTCTCACTTTGTCATCTTTGGTAGAGTGTCGTGGCATCACAGCTCACAGCAACCTCCAGCTCTTGGGCTTAGGCAATTCTCTTGTCTCAGTCTCCTGAGTAGCTGGGACTACAGGCACCTGCCATAACGCCCGGCTATTTTTTTTTGTTGCACTTTGGCTGGGGATGGGTTCGAACCTGCCACCCTCGGTATATGAGGCTGGCACCCTACTCACTGAGCCACAGGCACCGCTATAACTGATTTCTTTTTCAAATGACCATAGATATTAAAGAATGGAAATAGCTTTGAAATAAATGCTGGCATCTTACATTCTAAGAACTCAGAAAGAATTTGTAAGGATTAATAATAATTTCTTTAGAATAAAAAGAAGACTCTTAAAAATTAATATTTGACAAAATACACACAAAGTTGAAAAGTTAAGAAATGTGTCTCAATATTTAGGAGAAAAATTAATCACTAGTCCTATCACATCCCTCCCAAACACCTATTCTTCTGATAAAAAGATAAAGCTTCTAGTCAATTTTACCATCACGATTTCCTTTAACTTCATCCTGAGTATCACTGATTTCTTCATGAAGGATGCTGATGAGTTATAACCACAAATTTAGAAGATTTTGAATATCTGTATTAAATTATATCGCCTAGCATTTCCCAAACTATATTCCATGGACCTGGTTTCCATAAAGATGTTTTTAGTTCTTAAAGTCAGGGGGTTATGGTCAAATAAGCTTGGGAAAGTCTGCTAATGTGAACTGAGAATCATTAGTCTTTCCCAAATCCTCTGACACCAGAAAAGTTTTTTTAAGAAACAAATATTTACAAATCTTTGAATACTAATATTCTTTAAAATACAGTGAAAAATACTAAATGTACGTCAATTATTTTGCCTCCTCAGCTACCTCTCACGGCCTTTATAAATTACAAAGCCAGAATTTCAGAAGGCTTAAGGGACTCCTCAGGGACACATAATTAGTGGCAGATCATAGATTAGACTCTGAATCTCTGAACTGCAAGGCCAAAATTTTAATTGAAAGATGTTATTATTATGTGGTACAAGGAACATGTTAAAGAAAAACCAGAATTTATACAAACATAAAGTGCTACAGAAATGAATAAAATTAACCTATTGATCCCTAATCTGAATCACATTTTATGATAAGTATATTTATGAATAAGCATATATCCCAATTCTTGAAATAAAACTTACAACTATCATTATTTCAAGAACTATAACCTAGGAAAAAATATTGGTCTCATTTGTTTTTGGATATCATGATGAAGAATTAAATATTATTTCCATTTTATAGAAAATGCCTTTTTAATACAATTAAAAACCTTGCCTAATTTGCATTACTAAGTTTAATACTAATACTAATAAAAATTCTAGTAGATGTCCAAAATAGTTAAATGCTAAAAACTCAAAGTTAAAATAAATATGTATATAAATGTTTAGTTTTCATTGAATTGCAGTTTTAGTACTGGTTATGTTTATCACTGATATCAAAAACCTAGAAGACAAACATAGAATTCTAAGTTTTATATGGCATATACTATATACATTGTTTAAAAGTTACACAGTAATAACCTTTCACTGTTTGACATCAGTGATAATTTTTATTTAAAAAGAAACAAAGGCTAAGTGATCCATGAGAAATAATAGTCTTCTTAGTTTCAGTATAAACTGAAGTAGCTAAAAATGTGTTAAAAGATTCTAATTACAAATTAATAAATATCTGTATTTTGCTTTTCTAAGCTATTCTGTATTAAATCCTGAGGCACCAAAACCAGTTAGTTGGACAAAAACAGAGACTTTAATATCTAGTTCATTAAATTATAATGAAATATTTTCTGGAATCATTCTTTCTTGTAACTTTACCAATGATTTTTTAAGAGTACATTAATTGGTAATATTCTTCATATGCTATTTTATCTTCCTCTCTGCCCAACTTACTATGGATAGTTATGTCAATCTAAAGTATTTAATATATTTCATAACCTGGTTGAAGTTCAAAAATATTTTTTAAAAAAAGGTAAAGATATTTATGGCTCAGCGCCTGTGGTTCAAGTGGCTAAGGCGCCAGCCACATACACCTAAGGTGACAGGTTTGAATCTAGCCCAGGCCTGCCAAACAACAATGATGGCTGCAACCAACCAATAGCCAGGCATTGTGGTAGGCACCTGTGATCCCAGCTACCTGGGAGGCTGAGGCAAGAGACTCGCTGAGCCCAGGAGTTGGAGGTTGCTGTGAGCTGTGATGCCACAGCACTCTACCCAGGGTGACAGCTTGAGGCTCTGTCTCAAAAAAAAAAAAACGATATTTATAAAACAGGACAAATGTCAAACAGAAAAAGTTGGAATTACTTAGCACTTACATCCACAACAAAGGAGAATGATGTTATTTAATAAAAACTGTATACAAATTTCTACAACTTTAGAATCTTTATGCTCATTTACACATTTTACATAAAGTACAGAGTAGCCAACTAAAGATTCCATCAAAGTAACAGCAAAGAACTTCACTATGCAAATACTAAATAACATCATAAAAATTACTTAACAGTGCTTACCTATAATAAATCTCAGGAATATGATTAAGAGCTAGACTTTAATTTCATAGATTTTTTTTAAATGACAATATTCTTCCCAGTACTACATAGACGATAGGAACTAATTTTGTACTAAAGATAATTATAAATATATTTTAATAAAGATTGATGGGTCCTTTAAAAAACTTTTTATTCTTTTTTGAGACAGACTCTCACTCTGTGCCATGGGTTGAGTACCCTGGCATCATAGCTCACAATGACCTCAAACTCTTGGGCTCATGCAATCCTCTTGCCTCAGCCTCCTGATTAGTTGGGACTACAGGCACCTACCACAATGCCCAACTAGTTTTTCTATTTTTAGTAGAAGAGACAGGGTCTCCCGCTTGCTTAGGCTAGTCTCAAACTCATAAGCTCAGGTTATATACCTGCCCCAATCTCTCAGAGTACTAGGCTTATAGGCATAAGCCACCGCACCCAGCCAGGATCCTTAAAAATTAAAGCAATATTCTTTTCTTTTTCAAATCTGTTTATAATTCTTCACAAATGACTAATTATTAATAAGAGATAGCTTCAAGACAAAACTAACCATACAAAACGCTTACCTCTAACATTTCATGCAGTGTTATCAGCTGTGCAGTTGGCTCTTGAACATTTTTCTTAGAGAGAAATGTGAATAACAACCAATTAACATTTCAATGCTGCCAATGGTAGAATACTGGACCGTAGTACAAGATTTTGAAAATCAATACTTCTTTGTTGCAATGGTTACAAGGTAACTAAAGTCAAACACTCATAATTAGAAAACATAAGAATGTGGAAAGTAAATTACCTTATTGTACTTAATTCAATCATAAAAATGCATTTGAAACAACTCCTAAGATAGTGAAAACTTTTATAATTACTGAAAAATAAAATTCAAACTATCCATAAACATATAGTAGATATATAAATGTATTATACACATTACATACGTTCATATAAAAGAAAGCCTAAGTTGCCTGCAGTGCCTCAAGCCTATAATCCTACCATATTGAGAGGTCACGGAGGAAGGAATGCTTGAGGCTGGGAATTTAAAAGCAGCCTGAGCAACACAGGGAGACTTTCTCTCTACAAAAAGTAGAAAAACTAGCCAAGTATGCAGGCACGCGCCTGTAGTCCCAGCTACTTACGATGCTGAGGCAGGTGAATCACTTGAACCAGGCCTTAGAGGGTGCAGTGAACTATCATGATGTCACTGTACTCCAGCTTGGGCAATAGAGGGAGACCTAGTCTTAACAACAACAGTGTAATGTCTGACACCACCAACCCCAATAAAGTTCTACAAATGACATTCCAAACTATATACAGTTTTAAGACAGGAAACTTGCTTCCAAAGAGACTTAACTCATCTTTCTACAGCCCTTGACAGTTCTTCATGTTAAATTAACTCACTGATTTTTTTCTTGGATTGAAGAGAATAAATGTTGTTCCATTTCCATCCTATTAGAAGGCCCAAGTCTTCTTTTCTCTTTACCATGTTAATCATCAGTTCCTCAATTTTTCCCCCTCCCCTTCCTTTCTTCTATTATTTTTTGAGAGGGAGTCTCACTGAATTGCCCAGCTAGAGTGCAGTGGCATCAGAGTTCACTGCAACCTCAAACTACTAGGCTCAAGATATCCTCCTGCCTCAGCCTCCTCTGTAGCTGGGACTATAGGCAATGGCTACTATGCCCAGTTTATTTTTCTTTTTTAAATTTTTAGTAGGGGGGGTCTTGCTCTTGGTTAGGCTGGTCTTGAACTCCTGACTTCAAGCAATGCTCCTGCCTCAGCCTCCTAGAGTGTGCTAGGATTATAGGTATGAACTACCATGCCCAACCTAGTTCCTTCAATTATTTTTCATGTGGATTTGTTATCTTCACCAGATAGGAAAGGTTTTCTAGAAGGAACAGAATACTTTTTTTTTTTTTTTTTTTTTTTTTTTTGAGACAGAGCCTCAAGCTGTCCCCCTGGGTAGAGTGCCATGGCATTACAGCTCACAGCAACCTCCAACTCCTGGGCTCAAGCGAGTCTCCTGCCTCCGCCTCCCAAGTAGCTGGGACCACAGGCGCCCGCCACAGCGCCCGGCTATTTTTTGGTTGCAGCCGTCATTGTTGTTTGGCGGGTCCGGGCTGGGGATTCGAACCCGCCACCTTAGGTGTACGTGGCTGGCGCCTTAGCCGGTTGAGCTATAGGCACCGAGCCAAGGAACAGAATACTTAAGACACAAAAAAGTGAAAGGTAATTGCACACTTAATGGAGATAAAGTAGTATGGTTGAATGAATTCACTTAAAAGATGGATAAAGAATGGTTGAAGATGAGGCTGAAAGGAAAGACAATGTCCAGAGCATAATGATCTAAGGAGTTTATAAGTTTCATCCCAAAGGGAGCCATCAAAAAGGTTTTACACGGAAAAATGATAAAACTATATATATATATGTTTTAAAGAGATCTCACTGGTGCCAGTTTCAATGCCTTTTCCAATTTCAAAAGTATTTATACTGTTTATTGCATTAAAAAATAAAAGATGTTCATAATCTTTTGCCACTCAAATATGTATTTACTTTCCTATGAAAGGTTTATTCTTTCATAACTACCATTCATACAGTTGATAACTTACACTAAACTAACAGATTTTAAACATCATTCTGATTTAAAAAGCTACATATTATGTATCTCTCATACATAAGTACTATTAAATTTGTGGCATACATTAGATTCATACAATTTAGTCACCTGTGTCTTATCCATTTAACAGAAAGTTGTGAGCATTTCATTAACTTTATTGATAATATTCAATATATTATTATTATTATTCTTGAGACAGAGTCTCACTTTGTTGCCCTTAGTAGAGTGCTGTAGCATCACAGCTCACAGCAACCTCAAACTCTTAGGCTTAAGCGATTCTCTTGCCTCAGCCTCCCAAGTAGCTGGCACAATAGGCACCCACCACAACACCTGGCTATTTTTCGGTTGCAGTTGTCACTGCTGCTTAGCTGGCCCAGGCTGGGTTAGAAGCCACCAGCCTCAGTGTACATGGCTGATGCCATAACCACTATGCTACAGGCACTTAGCCTATATATTATTTTTTAAGTTGACCTCCCCCCCATCCTCTGGATATAATATAAAATATATATTTAACTAATCACATTTTATCAAACCATTAGTTTGCTTCTATTTCTTCAATACATATGTGATTATGGTATATTTGTGTATGTGTGCATATCTTTAAACAAGAAAATTTGCTTTTAAACCTATATAAAGGCTCGGCGCCTGTGGCTCAAGCGGCTAAGGCGCCAGCCACATACACCTAAGGTGGCGGGTTCGAATCCCCAGCCCAGGCC